TTTAAATTTAATTCTTTATTTATTTTATTCATTATATATTTGAATAGATCTGCGATTATATGTTCTATTAAATACAAAATTGGAAGTATTAAATTCAAAATTAATGATATTGTATAAATATACATTTACTTTACCATTTGTTTTAAATGTTTTCGAATTATAGTACATTGTATTGCTGTTTTACAAATTCTTATGGTTCCAAACCAGAATGGGAGACAAAGCTAGAAGAGGACGTCTTAATCAAGATTGTCCTGTAACATTGTTATCAGTTAGCCTCACTAAAACGGAGCGGAAGGGAAAACGAATATGTTTACTATCTTGTTGTTTGTAGTAATGATTGACTCCTGCTAGTTAGAGAGATGTTTCTCGTTTTATATTCGGGTATGAAACTTTACAAAACAATACATCATTAATTGTAAGTGTAAATGCATTTTCACGTGTTTTACCCGTGTTACATTTCCATTAATTGTTTTGTTATGGAAAATGTGCAGCGAATGATTCCTCTCCAAAACTATTTTAATTTTTTCATGTCCTTTGCATATTGTTATACGGGAAATAAAGTTTGCACTTGATGCATGCTAATTTCGAAAACTATTTTGTTATTTCCTTTTTCCGGATGGATGGATGGATAATACATTCCGGTTGTATTATTATATTTTTCAATTACAAAATATTGCTTTTTATAACCGGCGGATCAATGCATCAGTGATATCAATTCATCCCCATTTTCAATATCACAATTCAAGGAATTAGAGGAATACCGTTATTTTTTTTTTGATACAATGTTGTCTAAATGATGCAGTTTATAAGATATGGGAGCTGTAGGAGAAGTCTTTTATTATTTCTGGCAACTTATTTCAGATACTGGATTGTGGCACTGTTTAATTCATTCATCGGTCTTTCCGAGAATTCCGTGTTGTTATGTCATCAAAAGGTTCCATTGGCGACGTTCGTATAAAGACTAAAACTGGTGAGTGAGTCATCGTGCTTAAGTTTTTTTTACCTGTGGATAATCACCCTCATATATAGAATTTCATTAATTAGTATATTTTCAGCAGAAACCAGCTAATTATGTCGTAAACCCAGAACTTTTAATTTGCTGTTACTTTAGACGTATAATTTTCGTCTCTTGAAGTTGTAGGAATTGTATTGACTTATATGGATGATCCTTTTGCTCATTCGTGAGAGAAAGCTCGTTGTAGGTGAAACATATATAGCAGCTTCGCAACGTGCTGATGGAACGTGGAGAAAAGCAAGAAAAGTGAAAGATGGTTATATTCCACAGGAAGAACAACCCAGGTACGAATCACGCGGTCAACAAATGAGCAACAAAACTACATATCCTGTTGGTTGGTCGCCCACCGGAGTTGTGAAATCTAAAAAGGTCAATTTTTTATCCCATGGTAGGAAGTGCAAATTCGAAATCTACCAGGGGTAACATTTTGAATCCTGTTGGTGGTAACTGCCAAATGAAATTAGATTGACTAGGATCTTGAAAGTAAAAAATATCTTAAGGATCTCGAAGATTTCGGAAAAACTCACGATGTAAAAATGAATGTCGCAACTTCTCATCCCATATAATACTTGATAATTTGTAAGTTATTAAATAACTGTATCTAGTAATACATAAGATAAATGTGCTTTCTGTACGCGCTGTTATGTTACACATAGTCTTGATTTCGCGCAATGATTAGCTACTCATAGAGCAAAAGAAATTCCATGTGACCGTTTCATTGCTCAATTGTTCAGGAAAGCTAACTGATAATCCTTCAGACCAAGTGATAAAACCATAATACTGTCTAGGATGAGTTACTGTCCAGAAAATAAAAATTGCGAAATTTAGTTCTTTTCTTCGAAAGTTTCCAGGAAACTAAAGAGCAAGAATTGAAAAAACCGATTGCTGCAACACTGAAACCAAATGCTCCCATTACTCCTCGTGAATGTATTGAAAAGAAGATTAACAATTTGAACAGAAAGCTACGAGATATAGAAATGCTACAGGTAAACATGACATTTCGTTTTGTGCATTAGTCGACTTTAATCGAGCTACCTTTCTAGACCAACCGTAATGTTCTTTTTTTTATGTATTGCGAGATGCTGAATTTTGTTTTTTTTTGAGCTGCACCACTGCACTTCACTGTATGTATTTTTGCATCCTTGTATTCTTTCATTACATGTAAACCAATAAGAATTACTGCAGGAAAGAATCAGAAGTGGAGAACTGGAAAATCCAGAGAAAACACAACTCGAAAAAATTGCGCGAAGGGAAACTATTACGAAAGAAATTGATCTGCTGACTGCCGAAATCGAGAAGTTATGATTGCTTTTCTGAAAATTATTTTTTTCTGTAAATAGCGCATTTTTTAAAATAAATTATACACAGTAAAGAAAATGACCCTATCAAAATATTTTAGGTGCAGTGAATTAAAATTCCAAACTTGCTCCATAAATGCTTATAGAATAAAGCTCATAGAAGTAATTTTTCGCAAAATACTTCTGTTGTCAAAAAGCAAATGAAAGTTGAAAATTAAAACAAAATGATTGTTCTCCTAACGTAGGATAGTCTGAGCACGTTGCTTATAAAGTAAAGTTCACAACTGTTTCAATTAAAAATATATTTAAATGCAGTATTGTTAATTCATGTCTTTATTATTTTTGACCATCTAAATTATATATATATATATATATATTTAAATGCAGTATTGTGAATATATATATATATATATATAATCAATATTACGAATCATTAAGATAATATACCACCGAGCCAGATTTATTTGAGAATAAGTCCAAATACAACAAAATCTAACAATGAAAATGTCGCAATTCCTATATATATATATATATATAGAAACTTAACCTAACGAAAATATGAAATACATGGATAATGTATTTCATATTTTCTTTCCGTTAAGTATTCAATATTAAACCTGCTGGATCCTTAGATTTTACATGTGTATTTGTCCGGAAGGTCTATCTTATGCATGAAGTTTTTATTACCCTTGCCTTATTACTTTTTTAGGGGTTCGATTTCTTTTGGAGCCTCTTATTTTATATTTCTAAGAACTGAGCAACACTTTAACACGGTTCTTTCATTGCGGTAAACCTCCTAGGTAGTTTTTTGGTATAAGTCATGCATTACGAAAT